CTGTTCCCAAAACCTGCATCTTCCATTACTCCTATAGTGATAAAAAACAATTAAAAAAACATGCTTTTTTCTTCTTGCACACCTGCCCTGCTATCAGCTAATTTCAGTTTGTATGCAGAGAGGAATAACATAGCGGCGAAATCTGCAGCTTTAACCTCCCGAAATCTTTCATGGCATGCATTTTTAATTTCTCTTTGCTATTTGGGCTGATTTGGACCTGATCAATGAAAAAGCAAAGAATTACCAATTATATTTTACCTGATTTTTCTTTCTACGAAAAATTTGATCCACATGCGGACATTCGTTTTAAATTTTGATAGAACAGTGGCAGTACAAGTCCTCATAGGTGGATATCAGGCCATTGTAGAGCAAAATTTAGTATTTTGGTCTAGACAACCCAAAATGTGATGTCCACAAAGGAGTAAAGATGCGGACATTACTTTTTCTTTTTATTGCACAAGAGAACAAGAGCATGATAGTAAAGTGCAAACTGTGTGAAAAGAAACAACTTTATTGTATGGCTCTTGTCAAGCATCTGCACAGACAAAATGCTAATACAAAGCTGTTTGTGTTGGCTGACCCCAGCAAAGCTGCCAGAGCCTGATCTTCATCATGTAACATGGTAGACATATCAGTATTGTAGTCTTGTAGCCCAATTTCTGCCTGGACCTGTTTCTAATAAAACTCTAAGAATTGCTGTGGCAGGTGGTTTGAAATGTCTTTGGACTGGTTTCCATCTCTTCTTCGTGTTAATGGCTTTATGTTCAAACACAAGCACTAAAAGAGAGATCTTATGTGTCCTAAATAGGACTGGGATTGTCCCAGTATGTGGGCCTGTCTGGGACGAGAAGAAAGTCTGCACTAGACTGTACATTTACATGTGATACGGTTAAAAGAGCTTACTGTGCACTAAAATGCGGTAGTGGCTAACACACTGCATCAATAATAGAGCCCAAAATTAAATATTAAATTTCAAATAGTGCAATTGGACACATCGTGGCTGCTTTGTGGCTATTTTTTGCATTTCATGCAAAAGGGTCACTTTCTGTTCCTGAATCAATTTCATGAAAAAAAAAAAATTAAAATAGATGTATTAGTCACTGTTCTCAGCTTCACAACATAGACCATGGGTTTAACAGTGATTCAGAGGCAACATTATGACATTGTATTATTTAGCATAAACTTTACCACATGTAGGATATAATATCACATATACAGTGTATTTTTGTGTGGTAGTTTCCAAATTTTTACTTTCACAGCCTTTGATAATCCACATTATTGATTAAATTGATATATGATAAAATGTGCATGCCCTCCAACTGCTAGTGCTGATGAGTTGAAATAATAAAAAAAAAGAGAGAAAACATTTCTTTTAAAAAGAGTTTGTAGTTTAAAAAATTGTAAAAACAGTGACAGAAGTCTGTGTCCCAGTTTTTTTTTTAACAGAGTTTTAGGTTTCAGTACTTTAATTCTTATTTGGTACTTTATTAAATGTGAGATATTTATTTTGTACAGCTGAAGATGCTTTTACTGTCATTTCCCATGATTGAGTGCAAATTCTCTGTGTTGCTGTAATCCAAATCAGAAAATAGAGAAAACAAAGTGATACATAATCTACAAACACACCCACATCCAATTCCTCACATCCACAGGATAGTGGGAGTGTTCGCAAATTAGAGGGTGCTGCTGCAGTCCCAGTGCCACAATCAAACACTTTAGAGAGAGTTTTGTTCAGCTCTGCTCTCTGATTCACCATGAAGCTGTACGTGATTATTCCACTGTGTGCTCTGCTCACATTCACCCAGCAGGTAAGAAATACTGAAGACTTCATTTCAATGGGTAAATATCCATTTTGAATAAAGTGACAAATACCAAATACCACTAAATGTGATGTTCTGCTTATTTCACTTGAAAATACATTTAAATTTCAGGCTCCTCCACGAGAAAAGTGTGCATGCGAGCTGAATAACTCAGAGAAGGCATTCCCTCATGAAAAACTCAGGATAGTTGAAACCAACGTATCAGACTGCAACAGCAACATCACCCCACAGAAGGTAACTAGTCTTTTAAAGCTCTCATGCTGTGTGTCTCCATTCCTGCTTAATCACTGCTGCCTCTGCAGACTGTGGAGCTGGAGAGTCTGCTGCTGGGGTTGGAGCGTCGTCTTTCCCAGCTGAACAAAGATGTGCAGATCCTGGAGAAGGAGGATGACGGAGAGCTGTATGGAGTTCTCAGCTTGTATGTTATAGAGAATGAAATGACTGAGATCAAGCAGCTGATTGACAAGCTCAACAGCACCACCCAGCAACACCAGATCCTCACTGCTAACGCCACTGAACAGGTAGATTCACAACCACATGCTGCAAAACACTGACATCACTGTATCTTTGTCCCTCACTCTGTTTACGATCTTGTAAACAATCAAAATTTGTCTCAGCTGGGGAACTATAAAGCAGAGATGCAAGAGCTGGAGAAGTTCGACACCATGCAGGTGATAAAGGGACAACAAGTCAACTCTGCTCTGAAGGCAGATCTATTCAAGTGCAACAAAAAAATGAACACTACCGTCACACCCACCGAGCCCCCACAGGGTGAGTTTGTTCTTTTTTTTTTATGTGTTTGTTTGTTTATTTCTCTTCTGGTGGCAGTGGGAGTCTGTTCTTAGGGGATTGGAGCAGTTAATAATCCTTTTTATTTTTATCCCCTCAGGTACCTGTCAACGCAGCCGGCTTCTGAATGTCACTGGACCAAGGGTCTACACAGCAGGAGAATATCCTGGCTCGCACGCTTACGGAGCCTGGGGCCGTGATCCCAGACCAGAGGAAGGCAAAGAGAGCTGGTACTGGCTGGTGATGATGACTTCGAGTAACAGATACTCCAACTATGTTCGTTTTTACAGCAGTCTGAGTTCTCTCATCATTGGAGTGAGCGTCCCAGGTAAGGAACTCCTCTGTTCTTGTTGTTTTTTTCCCTCCCACATAATGCAAAAAAACCCTTACTGTTTTTACTGGGATCACTCTGAAGTTGGTAATAAAGTAGCTTATTAAATTGTTTGAATTTTCAAAGATGAAACAATTAACCCTAGAGGTTTGCTGTACTTTGGGTTACTGAAGGTGTTTGGAAAGGACCGTGTACAGTGAGTTTGTTAGGTAACTACCTAACTGTACCTAAAATCGAGTTATGCAACCCTTTATAAAAGTGGCTTTAACATTTGGTAGCAAGTTATACTGATACCAAGTATCAGTATTACGTGTTTTCAACAAGCAGCCCTTGTTCCAGTGCTGGTACAGGTGCATAGACAGTTCTGCATTGGTTCCCAGCCCATGTTATCCTGGAGTGTTTTTACTAAATAATACTCACCTGCCATAGTTCTTAAGAACAATGTTTTGCAGTTTGTCTTAATTACTGATACATTTTTGTGAAGCAAATTATAGTTTTAAACTATTAACATATGTTTATTCCTTCTTTTTCATCTTCAGGTAACGTCCAGATCCACTCCTCAAACCCAACTACCAACACTATCCAGGGTCCAAATAATGTTCTGTATGGAGGGGCTTTGTACTACAACTGTTACAACCAAGATTATGTTTGTCGATTCAATCTCACCACTAAAAGTGTCACAACCTTACAACTACCAAAAGGCACCAGGTTTGTCTTGGACCTCATTACTGCATGAAATGCTGAATAACTATGACAGAAACGTTCACTGCTATCCTCTGTTAACCAGGTACAACTCAAAAGGTAACTTCTGCCATCTTGAGGAATGCTACCCATACACTGACCTGGACCTGGCAACAGATGAGTCTGGTGTCTGGGTGGTCTACACCACCACTCAGGACTTTGGCAACTTGGTTCTCTCCAAGCTAGAGGAGGGTGAAACACCAGTGCTTGGAAAGACCTGGCGCACTTCAGTCTACAAGCAGTCAGTGACCAACACCTTCATGGCGTGTGGCGTTCTCTATGCAACACGTTACATTAACAGGGAGGTCGAGGAGATCTTTTACTCATTCAACACTGTGACGGGACAGGAGAAGTTCAACATTGGCATCTTCATGAACAAAATGTCTACCAACATTCAAAGCCTAAATTACAGCCCTGTGGACCAGATGCTGCATGCTTACTGTGACTCCAACATGGTTTCCTACAAGGTGTTGTTTGGGTAAATTGATGTTGCTGTTTCATTTCTGCAAAATTGATTGATTTCTATAAAAGTCTGAAATTCAAATAGGTGCTCGAGTAAAACATGGTATAGCCAACACCGTTTTTCCTCAAGATGTTTCATGTTTAATGCATCACATTTCATAAACAATGTATTTCTCCATTAAGCTAATTCAACCAGTGCAAATAAAAGGTTCATCTTTGCCTTGTACTCTCTTTATTTAATAAAATCAATAATTTACAGTGTAGTGGTTTTAATGTTCAGAGTCAGTCTAACTATGTTATTATATCTTTTTTTATGTAAACATACAAATGTCATATTCTCATAAAAGTCACAAGATTGTTGTTTTGAGATTTGTGGAGAAATCCTTGCAGTGACATTAGCGTAGCAGTTATCTAAATAAGTAAATTAAATTCAAACAGATTGTCAACTTGTTAGTACAATGTATTTACTAGCTTTTTTTTTAATATGCAGTGTTGGGCAAGTTACTTTAAGTAATTAATTATAGTTACTTCTTCAAAAAGTAACTGAGTTAGTAACTGAGTTACAAGATTCTAAAAGTAATTAATTACTTGAAAAGTAACTATTGCCTTACTGGGCCTGGACCCCAGAGGGTTAAACATTTTTTTAACCCTCTGGGGTCCAGGGTATAATTGGCCATTTTTAACTACTTTTGATGTTTCCTCTACATTTCACCTTTAAAAACTATTTTTGTTTGGTATCATTGTTTTCAGCACGACCTCACATGTCTGAATTTACAGTTATGTTTTCATTTTGACATACTGTATTAACAAAAAACATAAAATCTGAGTAGAAAAAGTTTTTTAAATTTAATTAAATTTTTTACAGTGCATTTACAATGACTGAAATTTACAATGGTTAACATTTAAGTTTCTCCTTCAAGTATCAGATAAAATGTTACACATTTATGGTTCATAATACAAGTGCACAAATCAATGCCTGAGAACCTTAATCGAATGAACAATTTTTGTAAAGAAAAGAGAGTCAAAATGTGTCAATAATAATCTGACTGACTGATAAAGTTTCTCAAAAAGATTATACACGTGTCTCTACAATTTACTGAATCATAGAGTACACTGCACTTAATTTTTCACATTGATTATATTTTTTGTTAAATAAGTGACATGATGAAATATGTCATGTTTTCATCTGAGTTTGTATTTAAATAATTTTCTTTTAAGGTTCCAATGATTTTTGTTAATATTTGCTAATATGCAAAACCCTAAATTTGAAATAGTGTTTACTTTCTCATTTACATTACATAGTTTCTACAACACCAAAACCCTAAATTTGAATTCAGTTCAGTTTTATTTATATAGCACTAAGTCACAACAACACTTCCCTCAAGGCATTTTATATTGTAAAAACCCCATAATAATATAAAAAAACAGAGAAAACCCAACAATCATATCACTCCAATGAGCAAGATTTGACGACAGTGGAAAGGAAAAACTCCTTTTTAACAGGAAGGAACCTCCAGCAGAACCAGGACAGGAGAGGGACGTCCATGTGCAGCAATGGAAGCAGATATGGAAGATAAAGTCCAAAGCAGCCCCCATGGTAGTGGAAGCATAAAGAGTTGTAGCCCCATAACAGCTAAAATATTAACGTGTACTCTCAAGCTAGGCCTAGATAGATAGATAGATAGATAGATAGATAGATAGATAGATAGATAGATAGATAGATAGATAGATTTTTTAAATTTTTTACAGCATACATGACATATTTGTGATATTTGTATTGCTTGCATAAAATAGTCCTCAAACTGAACTTTAAATCATTGCTTTTTTCTTACTGTTTAACAAGCTTTAGATCAGAAGTAAACCTGGTAGGCCAGCAAGTATCCATCGTTGTACATGTAGATCTGCTTGTTGGTGGGATTGTAGCTCAGACTAGCCACTGCTTTAGCTACCTTCTCCAGTGGTATTGCTAGTGAGTTGTCTTCTTTGCCTGTGGCTGTGTCGAAGGCGTAGAACACCTCCTCCCGGTACTCATTAACGTAACGAGTTGCGTACATCACACCGCACACCATGAAGGCATTACTCACTGCCTTCTTGAACAACCTCGTTTCCCACGTCTGTGTCACATTGAGACTCTTCACCTCGCTGTCCCAAACTAAGCGGCTGATCACGAGGTTACCATGGTTACCTATAGTGGCATAGAGAGCCCACAGTCCTGTTTCATCTGCCTCTACATCAACATCACTATTGAGCCGGCAATCGTAGTAACAATAGGGGAACTTGTTGTTGAAACCCACACCGGTGCCTGGAAGAGTCACCCGTTTGACCTCGTTGGTCTCCAGGTCGTACCGGCAAATGTCTGCAGAGCGGTAGCAGTGATAAAACAGAGCCTCACCATACAGCACAGCACTCGGACCCTCAATGGCGCTGGGATGACTGTAAGATGAAGCAAAGGTAAAGTCTCTGTGGTTTGTTGAGGCCATGAGGTCTTCATAGGTTTGGTAAAGGCGCACAGTGTTGCCCCAGATGTGGCTGCTGAGCAGAGGTTGAACCCAGTAACTGTTCTTCTGCCCATCGCTCTCTTTCTGGGCTTGTTTTCCCCACGAACCAGAGATGTAGCTCTTACCATGAGGACTGACTTTAGCTGTGATAGGGTCACTGATGTTGGTGATCAGACCTCTGAGGCAGTGCCTGTCATGACCTGGAAAGACAAAAATATCAGGAGGTTTCTGAAGGAGATAATAAGATACAGTCAATCATTGTCACCTATCGGGATCATTTATTTATGATCCTGTGAGAGTGTCTGTTTGGCTCAAATATTATTTTCAGACAGGATCAGGGAAAAAAAGCTAGTTCTTGTAGTTCTTGAGTGACACGGCTTTGTACTGGGTCTTCTCCACCATTCCTTGTGCATAGGTAGAATCAAAATACAAAGAAAGTCCAATACCCCAATCACTGAGAAATACTGTGTTCAGGAATAATTGATTATTACAAATTAATTGATAATTGTCTCTCACTGACAATCCCACACACCCACAGTTTTTTCATATCATAGTGAGGACATCTAATTAACATAATGCTTTCCCCAGCCACCTAGTCTAAACCTAACCATCAAAAATTAATGCCTAACCCTAACCCTGTTGTAACCCTGACACTAAAATCACATTTTGAGCCTCAAACTCGTGTGAACGGGCATTTCGTCCGCATAAGTATAGCAGCATGTTAATTTTCTGTCCTCACAAAGATATCTAAACATGTACACGCACACACACACACACATACACACACACACACACACACACACACACACACACACACACACACACACAC